AAAAAAGAAAAAAGCCCCAACAGCCATAAACGCGTTTTTATTTTCTTTCGTAGCCAATGACAGTGATCTGTTAATGGAAGAGGGAATGGCGTTCACAATAGGTTAGTACCTCTCTGCTATGGTTGTCTTCAAAAAAAGTGCACACAAAGCAGCCCAGATCCGTACCATCTCTTTATTGGGATATAGAAATACCCGTGCAGCTACGGGGACGGCGGCGGCACTGACCCCTTCGGAAGCAGATTAAAACATCATTAAAAAAAAAAAGCAAAACCGCATTAAGGAGCCAGTGGGGTGAAATAGCTTCCAAATGCTAAGATTTGGAAAATGAAATGTATATAATAAACCTTACTAAACGACATGTTTGCCGCCTGGTTTTGGCAAGGCAGAGAGGCTCAGCCGGCACACCCGGGCTGGGGAGGATGAGGAGGATGCAGTTGTGCCCCGAAGCTGCCCGGTGGCTCTCCTGTCGCTTGGTGCCTGCCGGAGCTGCTGTTTGGGTCTGGGGACCGCAGCGCCGGTACCCGCTCAGAGCCTCGCCCCGCAGACGGAACGCGCTAAATGCCAATCCTGGAGAGCCGGTGGGGGAAAAGCCCTCTTCCTCACTGCGTGGCTAAATGGCGCGGCAATTAGAGGGAAATAAGAAAATTGTTGTTTTGCTGATTTAATGAACATTTTAAGCCTGTTTAAAAAATTCAAATATTTAAAACTATCTGCTGTTTGTAAGTGTGGTTGGTGCTTTGGTTATTATCCACGGGGTCTTAATTAAAGCTTGATTAAAATTCCCTGCTTTTACAAAAGAGGAATGGGCAACTTCCTACCTCTTTACTTCACATTTTAGTGTTGCAAGAGAGTGCCGGCCCAGGGAGGATGGGACCTGGGCAGAAGGGGAGCTACCTGCTGGGACACCCCCCACCCCCCACCCCTTCTTGCTTGCTTCACAGCCCACATGGGAGTGCGACTAACTTTAGAATACATTTTGGTTTTCTTGTTGCAGAGCCAATAATAATGGAAGGATCCCCTGAATTTAAGATTCTGAAGGATAAATGGACTGCAGTTTCTGTAGACAATAAAAGGTGCCTGATTTTATTTTTTGATCTTTCCTAAGCCGTGGAGCTGATCACTGACAGCCAACAAAAAAAAAAAAAAAAAAAAAAAAAGAAAAAAAGGGTGAGTTTTACAGGCGTGGTGGATGCATTTGCCCCCTAATAACTGCTAAATGTACATTTCAGATCAGCGCAGTTTGAACATACCGTTGTGATTACCTCAGAGGGAGCAGAAATCCTCTCTAAACTGGTGGAAGAAGCCTAAAGGTGGAGCAAGGAGTGGAGGGACTCGCTGTGCTTCTGGGATTTCCAGTTTCACTTGGGACAGAGACGGGGTTTCTGTAATTTCGGCAGGGGAATGGGTGCTGCATAAGTTGCTGCAGGGGACAGAAAAAGCAGCTTGAAGGGCCGGCTCTGGACATAGTCTTTTCTGTGTGTTACCTGGTGAGTATTTAATAAAAGTCCCGTGGCTTGTTTGTGACCCTGGAAGGGGCCAAGCACAGCCTCCAAGTGCAAAGGGCTTGGGTTATTTGGGGTGAGGGGCAGAGAGCAGGTCCCCTCTCTTCCAAATCCTCTGCGGGACAAACACGTATCAGATGACATGGTCTCAGTGCAGCTGAGAGGACAGAGGAACACAGTATTTTCCCTTTATAGCTGAGCTATGGAGTCAGTTTGTCTTCACTGTGATTAGCACAGTGCTGTTTCCCAGGCTGTAACTTCTACAAGGATCGAAAAAAAGTTTCCCCGGGGGTGGCAGGCAGAGGCAGCAGCCTCTTCCCCCCCAGCCACCCCAGCAGCTCTCCCCTTTCCTGCCTCGGCTAATTTCTCTTTGCACAGCACAAAAAGTGATTAAAAATGAGATGCGAAGCGTGCTTCTCTGGAGATCAATAATTGCCCTGCTTGAAGAATTAGCCGGTTTGGGGTAATCACTGCTCTGCGGTGCCCAACTTAGTTATGGGCGAGGCACTCCGCAATTTCAGCGTTTAACAGAAACGGAGGAGTTTGCGGTCTGGAGGCTGAGCCCCGGCTTCTGCCCGGAGTTTGGAGCTAACGGGCCTCATGAGCTGCGGGTCCTGTCCGGGGCCGGCCGGTGGTGGAGGCTTTAATTTTGCAATTAGCCGGTTGCTGACCGCCCCGTCGGGCCGGGCATGCCTGGCCTTAGGTGCTTGGAAGCTACCGGTCCTGGGAAGTGCGGGGTCGCCTTGGAGATAAGCAAGTGACGACCAGGAGCACCCCAGACTGGCGGCAGCAGTGGTGCGGTTTTGGTACAAATAACTTGCCCTTCATTGCAGGCAGATGCGGTCCTGTGCCGAGGGCTGGCCGGTGGCGCAGGCGGGCGAGCGGGGCTGCTCCGCACCGGCTCGCTCAGTGGCTCAGGGCCGAAGTAAGCCGCTTTCTCACAGCTATACTCTGCTGTTTGTTT